TTGTCTTCTTGGAGTGGAGTTGAGTGAGTTCTTTACGTATCTTGGAGATCAAACCTCTATCTGATGTATCATTAGAAAATATATTTTCCCATACGGTTGGCTCCCTTTTCATTTTGCTGATGTTTTCTTTAGCTGTACAGAAGCTTCTTATTTTGATGAGGTCCCACTTATTTATTCTTTCCTTTATGTCCCTTGCTTTAGGAGACATATGAGTGAAAAAATTGCTGCGTGGGATATCTGAGAGTTTCCTACCAATGTTCTCCTCTAGGACTTTTATGGTGTTGCAATTTATATTTAAATCTTTTACTAATCTTGAGTTTATTTTTGTGTATGTTGTCAGCTGATGATCCAATTTCAATTTTTTGCATGTAGCCGTCCAGCTCTCCCAACACCATTTGTTGAAGAGGCTATTATTGCTCCATTTTATGCTTCTGCCCGCTTTGTCAAATATTAGATGCCCATAGAGACCTGGGCTTATTTCTGGGCTCTCTATTCTGTTCCACTGGTCTGTGGATCTGTTCTTGTGCCAGTACCAGATTGTTTTGAGTATAGTGGCTTTGTAGTAGAGTTTGATATCCGGTATTGTGATCCCTCCTACTTTGTGTTTCTTTCTCAAAATTGCTGCGGCTATTCAGGGTCGTTTATGGTTCCATATAAATTTTTGAAACGTCTGTTCTATTTCTGTGAAATACATCATTGGTATCTTAATAGGGATTGCGTTGAATCTATAAATTGCTTTGGGTAGTATGGACATTTTGATGATGTTAATTCTTCCAATACATGTGCATGGTATATGTGTCTTCCTTAATTTCTTTTTTCAATGTTGTATAGTTTTCTGCATACAGGTCTTTTACTTCCTTGGTTAAATTTATTCCTAGGTACTTTATTTTTCTTGTTGCTATATCGAATGGTATTTTTTTCTGATTTCTTCTTCTATTTCATCGCTGGTGTACAAAAATGCCTTTGATTTCTGAATATTGACTTTGTATCCTGCTGTTTTGCAAAATTCACTTATTAGGTGGAGTAGTTTTTGGTGGAGTCTACAGAGTTTTCTATGTACACTATCATGTCATCTGCAGACAATGATAGTTTTACTTCCTCCTTTCCTATTTGGATGCCTTTTATCTCTTTCTCTTGTCTGACCGCTGTGGCTAGGACTTCCAATACGATGTTGAAAAGAAGCGGTGAGAGCAGACATCCTTGTCGTGTTCCCGATCTCAGTGGGAAAGCTTTCAGTTTTTGCCCGTTGAGTATGATATTGGCTGTAGGTTTTTCAGATAAGGCCTTTATTACATTGAGGAATACCCAATTTATTCCCATTTTGCTGAGTGTTTTGATCATAAATGGGTGCTGTACCTTATCGAATGCTTTTTTGGCATCTATAGAGATGATCATGTGGTTTTTGTCTTTTATTCATGTGATGTATTACGTTTATTGACTTGCGTAAATTGAACCATTCCTGCATCCCTGGGATGAATCCCACTTGATCGTGGTGGATAATCTTTTTACTGTATTACTGGATGCGGTTTGCAAATATTTTGTTGTGGATTTTAGCATGTATGTTCATCAGCCAAATTGGCCAGTAGATTTCTTTCTTTGTAAGGTCTTTATCTGCTTTTGGGATTACGGTGATACTGACCTCATAAGAGTCTGGGAGTCTTCTCTCTTCTTGGATATTTTGGAATAGTCTGAGAAGGGCAGGGGTTAGCTCTTCCTTAAACATTTTGTGAAATTCTCCTGTGAAACCATCCGGCCCAGGGCTTTTGTGTGTTGGGAGTTTCTTGATTACCTCTTCAATTTCCCCAGCTGTTATCAGTCTGTTCAAGCTTCTGATTCTTCCTCCTTCAATGTTGGAAGATTATACTTTTCTAAAAATTTGTCCATTTCATCAAGGTTTTCAAATTTTAGCGTATAATTACTCATAGTAATTTCTTACAATCGTTTGTATTTCTGTGCTATCAGTTGTTATTTCTCCTCTTTCATTTCTGATATTAATTTGGGTCCTCTCTCTTTTTTTAGACAGCCCACATAATACAGCCCAAAATTACCCGCCTGCACTGGGTGATTTTGGGCTCTCTATTTTGTACTTTTCAGCTTTCTGCTCTTTGGGGGTGTGGCCTGCCTGTGAACAATGGAGACTACAGAAAGGAGAAGGAGTTGGGACTCCCGGGTTCCTACTCCAGTTCTTTCCCTGACACCTCTGTCTCCTGTCTTTCCTCAGGGATCTCTAGGCAGTTCTGTGACCCCTTTGGCCAGGGATCCACTATTTCTGAGGACCGCGTTGTATTCACAGGCTGTCTGGCTCCCACGTGCCTTCTTCTGCCTCTTCGGGGGCATGCCCTGCCTGTGCAAAATGGACACTACAGAATGGGGAGGGAGTCAGGACTCCCTGGTTCCTCCTCCGGTTCTTTCCCCAATGCCTCCATCTCTAGTCTCTCCTCAAGGCTCTCTATGCAGCTGTGTGTCCCCTTTGGCCAGGGATCCTCTATTTCTTCCAGCCAGTCTGTACTTAGTCCCCCAGCTCACATGCACACAAGCTGTGTGCGGAGCGCACAGAGGGCAGGTTAATTGATTCCCTTATGCCTGAGAGAGATGGTAGCTGCAGAGTGGGAAGTGAGTTATCACTGGGGCTCAGCTGGCCACCACTTTAGTTCACTTCACAAAGTTTCCCTCACCAATCTTTCCTCAGGCACCATCCTACTCTGCTGCCGCCTCTACCCACAGATCAAGGAGGGCGGCTGCCGCTGCACATTTTCGCGTTGGCCCTTTAAATGTCTCTTTGCATCTCCAGCCGCCTGTCTCTGGCAGAGAGCGTCCCTAAGCCTTTCGGGGTTGCATTTTGTCTCTGTGTTTTCCTGGTTTCCGCTGCTGTAGTCTAGGGGTCCCTGTTTATGATTCAGACCTTGTTCTTCTCAGGTGGAGCCAATTGGCTGTTTCAATGTCCCTCTGGTGCTGGTGCCCATGGGCGCCCAGCCCACCCTCAGGAGCCTCCACCGCATTTCTCACCCATTGGGATGTGTGAGAGATGAATCCACTGTCTGTCTCCGGCTCCAAGGCTCCTCTCCCTCTATTGTTCCATTGCTTTCCAGGTCATTTCTCCACTATTTAGTTGCAATTCCAGTTTGGTCTTGGGAGGAGGTCAACATGTCTCCCAGTCACTCCTCCGCCATCTTCCAATCTCCAGGATTTCTTTTAAGAAAACTGAACTGTGGTATAAATGGTTTAAACTTTGATAATTTCCAATAACATTATTTAACTTTTGGAGAAAGAAATACACATGATTTATTGTCATATATGTTTAAAAGTCACATTACTCCAAATGCAATATTACATACATAATTCTTCAGGAAGAAAATGAAGAAATACTTTTCAGAACTAAATATAAGTAGAGGCTCTGGCAGGGTAGCTCAGTTGGTGAGAGAATGGTCCGGGTATACCAGGGTTGGAGGTTTGGTCACTAGTCAGAGCACATGCAAGAATCAATGTTTATTGCATAATGACATGGAGCAACAAATGAATGTTTCTCCCTCTTTCTCTCTCCCCCTTCCCATCCTCCCTTCCCATCTCTAAAGTAAATAAACAAGCAAAATAAATAAATGCAACTAGAGGATGGATAAGGAATCTTAATTCTTTCTCCCAAGTTGAAAGCTTTCATTTGTGACGTGCTTATCAATTTAATGCCTGGTGGAGTTCTGAAGCTCATCATCAGTGAGAAGTCTTCATGATTTCTAGGTTCAAATAGTCCAGATACCCAGAATTTTTTGACAAAGACACTAAATATTTGTTATCATCCACCAATCTTTAATTGGAAAACAGGACTTTGTAATTTGCTAAAAGTAGTAAGAATAGAATGTGGTGAGATGTGAAATTCAAGGTCTTCTGGCTCCGTCTTTGTTGTTGGCCAGTCACTGGCAGCTTGGTAAGAACACAACAAATCCAGTCTCTTTCACTGATTAATAATGATTAATAATGACAATAATAATAAATATATTGATACTTGATTGAAAATGACTCCTTTGGCTATTGGGGCCCAATGACAATTTAAGTTACTTGTAACTTGTTACCTCTAATCACTCAGATACCTCAAAATTGCATGCTCATCTGAGAGTGTCATAGTACATTAATAGCATTATCTTCCCCCATTGCAAGATTTGCATAGTTCATAAATACTTAAAAAAATTGGAGTTTATAGTCAGTTTTTCTAGAGGTATATTAAAAAACTTTTTAAGCATGGTATTTTCATGTATTTTTAAACAATTTTATATAGCTTTCTTTAATATTTCTTAATATTACTATTTGTTAAAAATAAATGAAAATTCAAGTCTGAGTACTTCTCTAAAACATTAAAAAATATGTCGGGCTTTAGAATGTAAAGTTTGGCTTGTTTTAATTATACCTCCTTGCTGGTTGTTTTATGCGGGACAGAGTTATTTTTCTTTTAAAACTAGCAGTGGCCTCTGAGTGAAAGGTTAATATAATTTGTTAAGAACTGAGTAGTTTCACACATTCAAATATTCTTAATCCATTTCATTCTAAGGGATAGCTTGTTAGAAATAGCAAAGAGCTGAGCTACATGTTTTTGTTCTGAGTAAATATTCTTTTCAAGAATGTCTTTTAGGTAACTGTAACAAAATAGAAATAAGCTCATTCATGTGAATATTTATTTTTAGTATTTGCACATCTTTTTCTTTTCTCCTTGTGAAAATGGTACTGTATTTTATTTTAAAATAGATATTTTAATAATGATAATAAGCATTGAATTTTTTTGTTGACCAATATAACATGCCTACATTTAATGAATGCGTATTACATATGTGATACTACATTTGTATTTAGGAATACATGATATGTAGAGAATAAGTCACATCCTTGATTTCTAATCTAGACAAGTATTTCTACTTGTCTAATGTATCAGAGTATGACTCTCATTGGCTTTTATATCAAAAGTTTTTATTAAGTTAAGAATATTATTATTAATATATGTTGGTTCTTTATTACAGAAGAAAATACTCAGGAAACATCACAAGTGAAGAAAAATTTGAATGAAAAAGTTTCTCTCTATAGAGGTGACATCACATTGCTAGAGGTAGATGCTATAGTCAATGCGGGTGAGTAGTTGATTTTTTTGTGATGTATTTGTTATACAAGTATTTATTTAAGAATATTTTTTATAAACAGGAATATAAGTATTTTAGAAAAAAATATAGTTCCTGGTATAGAAATGCCTTAATGTATTTCCCTTCTTGATGAAAAACATTGAGGATTTATTTTTGTGTATGTGCCACAGTTAATTTGCTACCTCTACAAAGAATCCATGCCAAGTTGAGACCATTTGGACCAGTGGAAAAGTGATAGATTGTTGTGGAAAGTTCTTCGGAAGAAATTTAACAGCTATATTACTGTTGGTTGTATGATTGACAATTGGCCAACATAAAAACAAATTTATTAAGCATTTTTCTTTAGAATAGGTTATAAAGAGATGATTGAATTACACCAGAGAAAAGTAAAATATAAGGAAATTTTGTCTGTGATTTTCAGACCTCAGTTCTTTGGTTTCAAACTCTTCATGTTAGTTCTGAAATGTTTTATTTTTATTATCTTAATAATTATCAAAATAATTTTCGTGTTTGAACATAAAATAATAACTGTTATTTATGGTGCTTTGGATCGCCTTTATATTTTACTATGTGGCTATATATAAAAAATATGTAATAGTTGTGATTCTATAAAAGTAAATGTTGACTCTATTAAAAATATTATTTTTGTAAGGGGAAGAGGAGTATTGCAATAAGAGAAGGAAGAATATTGCAATAGGAAGAACCACTTCAATCATGAAATTTATAAGCACCTCAAAGGTCAAACAGAATAGGGCTTTTTTCTACTTTTTTCCTTTTTTTTTCAGAGAAGAATAAGTAGGCAAGAAAAATTGGATGTGGGGCAGTGGGATGATTAGGTGGCATGATCAGAGAGTTGATCAGGGAATGTTTTCTCCTAAGGTCAGCTGATTCTAGAGAGAGATCATTAAGGAGACGTTGTTTCCTTTCTCAAGGATGGGTCAAAGCTCAATGGCTTGGAAGAAGGAAAGAAACCTGACTAAAATTTGATCAAATCTAGACAGTGGCCAACTATAACAGTTGATGGGGACAAATAGTTCAGCTAATCATCTATAAGTCAAAGAATAGAAATTTGTATGATCTGTGCCTTGACTTTGTCATAGGTTACAAGCAGTTGGTTGTCTACGAGTTTTATTTAAGTCCTATGGGGATGAGTTGTGGGGGTTAATTTCTTGAATGTTCCTTTTTTACAGGAGTACAGGATTCAGGTGAAGTCCAAGTTTGTCTTAGGTTTCTCCCTGGTGATGCTTAAATTCACTCAGGGTAGTAGGAACAACTTTGGTAGGTAAACAAAGGGTTTCAAAAGAACTGGAATACTGTTCATGATGGAGCATCATAGCATAGTTTTGGCAACTTAACGGGAAGTTTAGAAGCCTAGTCAGCTATTCTTCCCTCAGAATTGGCTTTCGGTTGCTTTCGACTGTATCTGCTTTGCTATAATCAGAGCTCAATTTTATTTTGTTTTCTCTTCCTCTGATACCTCTGTACTTCCTTTCTCCTCTCCTACCTCTTTAAAATATAAAACTATTTCAAGGATCTTCCAGGTGATTTAATGTCCACCCAATATGAATCACTCCTTTTGGATAGAATTCCATCTTCAGATTACTTCACAGTCTGCAAGTCTCTCTCATACCTAGTCTCTACAGACTCTTCATTTGTTGCCTTGGTATCAGGATGCTTTCTTCTGGTTTGTGGGGCTTCTGGAGGAGAGAGGCTCTTGGAAAGTTCACGAACTCCTCTCAAGTACAAAGAGTTAATCAGATAGCACTGTAGTTATTAAGTTGTCAATGATTTATTATGCCATATATGTGAGCTTTAATATAAAAATTATTTTAAAAAAATGTATTGTGGTGACATGGGTTAATAAAATTATAAATTTCAAGTGCACATCATCTGTATATTGCATTGTGTGTTTACTACCCAAAGTTAAATTTTTCTGTTATGATATATTTGACATCTTTTACCCTTTAATCTCCCCTCTCTTCCCTCTGGTATCCATCATGCTGTTGTTTGTGTCTATGAGTTTTTTTTGTCCATTTGTGGCTTTCAGTTTTATATCCCACATATGAGTGAAATCATATGGCTCTTGACTTTTTCTGTCTGACTTCTTTCTTTTTTTTTCCTTTTTATTGAATTTATTGGGAAGATACTGGTTAACAAAATTACACAAGTTTCAGGTGCCCAATTCCACAATACATTATCTGTACACTGTACTGTGTGTACACCACCCTAAGTCAAGTCTCTGTCCATCTCTATTTACTCTCTGACTTATTTCACTTAGCATGATATTCTCAAGATCTTCCAAAGCTCATGGGTGTGTTTTTGTTTATGTGCATGTATAAAACAAGCTTTTTGTATGTTCTTGTAATATTTAGCTGTTGATTCTAGTTTTCTCCAGAGGAGAACAACTGATGATGTGTATTTTCTTCTTAAATACTTGAAGACCACTTTCATGAGTTGTCTTTTTCTTATTATTAGCATAATACTGTATTTCCACATTAGTACACTTAATAATAGCAGTAATTATGGTTTTTCTTGAATTTTGTTAAATGTATATCTGTTTATCTCCCTCATGAGGTTACAGACTGAGGTCTTTCAGTGTTTTAAAAAATTTTATTTATTTTCTTCGAGAGATGGGAAGGGAGAGAAAGAGACGAGAGAAACATCAGTGAGTGAGTGCCTCTTGTGTGCCCCCAACGGGGGACCTGGCCTGCAAACCAGGCATGTGCCCTGACTGGGAATCGAACCGGTGACCCTTTGGTTTGCAAGCTGGCACTCAATCCACTGAGTCACACAAGCCAGGGCATGATGTCTTTCAGTTTTATGTTACCTTCTACAGTGATGTCCTGCCCTTATGTTTTTAATAAAGACGATACTGTATATTTGTTAAAATGAAGTATGTGCAGTTGAATTTGTAGCACCTCTGACCAATAGCACATTCAGTATTGGGGACTTGACACAATGAGCCAATTTGGTTCTGATTGTAAAAATGATTACATTTGATTTATAAATAAAAACAAAAAATAATTTTTACTGGTATTTTTTATTGAAATAAAATAAAATGGTGTGAAATGAGAAAACATCACAAACATGAAAACATTTCATCATTATTTTGATTCTTTGTTCTTGCCTGTATGTGTAAGTTTTTCGTAGCTGCCATATAGTGTATAAGAGTTTGATGAATAAATATGAATGTAGAAAGTAACTTTCACTCACTCCCAAAAACCATGTGGCAGGCATCTTTAACTCACCTCTCTGTTGGTCATGTTCTATATCTCAAAAGGACAACCTCATCCGGAGTTCCTAGGTAGATGGAAAAGAGATGCCAAGTATGCAGTGTGATGCCTATTTATAGCTCTCTGCTCTCCAGTTTGGTTGCCTGGTGTGTACGGAGAGGAACCTAAAGGCTGTTAACCTTTCAGGTGAACAAGGCAACATAGCAGGAAAATCTGGGGGCTGCCTCTAGTAAGGAGGGAAGAGAGGCAGTGCCCATAGTCAAGATACCAAAGCAGCACAGTTATCACTTTCTATCAGACTTCTGAAGCTCTCTATATCCACATTTGTACATTGGAACGCCTGATATTATTTGCCATGAATGAAGTAATTCATGATTTTAATTATTTTCCTAATAAAATATGTTTTGAATTTTCTTAGATTTCTTCAAATGTAATCCAGGATGAGTCTTTTATATATTATATTCTTCTCTGTAGGAAATAATGCACATTTAGAATATTTTAATAAAATAGATATTGTAGGCAGTAGGGTACACAGGGCAGTAGCACAAGTTTTAGGGTCAGGAAGACCCAAGTTCAAATTCAGGTTCTCATACCAATGATTTTTTTTTTGTTTAAACTTTTATGTTGAAATAATTATAGAGAACTGCAAAAGTAATACAGAGTTCTTTCTACCCTTCATCTTCAGCTGTGTAAGCCTCCCCCAAAGGTGACATCATATAACTATAATACAGTATCACAACCAGGAAATTGTCATTGGTACATTACTATTAACTAGACTATAGACCTTATTCAGTTTTCACAATTGTTAATTTACATTCATGTGTGTATGTACAGTTTTGTTTCATGTATAGATTCATGTAACTACCACCACAAAACAGATGCAGAACTGCTCCATTATGAAAGAATTCTCTCATGTTTCCCCTTTGTATTGTCACTCACCTCTCGACCCCCTCCTGTTCTTTATGTGTAAAGTTTTGTCATTTTGAGTTTGTTACATAAATGGAATCATACAGCGTGTAAACTTCTGAGATCGAATTTTTACTACACATAAAGCAGTAATTCATTCTGTTTATTCTGAGTAGGAGTCTATTGCATGTGTATACCAAAATTTGTTCAGGCATTCACTCTCCGGAGGACATTTGGGTTCTCTTCAGTATTTTGCTATAACTAATAGAATTGCTATGAAGATTAATTTACAGGTTTTTGTATGTAGCAGCATATAGTATGATCTGTTTAGTGTGACTAGGTCCTCATATGATTTTATGCTAAGCCTATTGATCAGAGAATTTTTTCTTTGCTAGAGCTTGGGGAGAATAGATCAACCTAATTTATAGTTCAGTATTATATTCTTGGAGACAATTTCACTTGTACCACAATCACAGAAAAATATTTTATAGGAGATATAATTTTTATTCATTTGTGAATTGAGAGGTGTATAATGAAAAAGTGGTTAATTTTCCTACTCTAATGGGCTGGCTTTGGCTAAAGATTAATTCAATTTGTCATAAAAAGAATTTCAAAGTGGAAAGTGAGAAAGGTTGATTTGTTTATTTTAATTATTCCTGTATCCAACTCAACATGCCAAGGACAGGTACATTGAGATTGTGGTTACTCATAGGTCAAGTTGTAATATATATAAGATATACATGACAAATCAAGTTTTATAGCATTTCATAGTGAACAATCCATCTTAAGGCTTGTGTAAGTGTAAACTTAAGTGCTGTTTTCCTATAGCTGAGAAGGTGGGGGTTATTGTGT